TGCGGAGAGGGAGGTTTGGGCCTCCCTTCTGAAGCTGCTGCCCCCGCGACCCGACCCTGGATAGGCGGAAGAAAATGGATGGATGGATGGAGAAAAAGAAAGAAGAGAAAAAAGAAAATTATTTTCTTCGGGAAAAATATATTTTCATTCTATAAAGGTTTTAAATCCATACCTGAATCTGCGTTAGATTGAAGTATCTTTTTAGAAGAAAATAAACATTTTTTCAACAGCTCATTCAGAAGACCTACTCAACTTTTTAAAAACTGCTGTCATAACATCTTTTTTAAACCAAGTTTTTTTATTCACATATGTTTCTACTTTTTAAAAATCAGAACTCCAGTTAAATAGAGCCTTGTTGGAGAAAACATCTTCTAAAAGAGTGAGAAAATGAACTAAATGTGAGAAGATGCTTCAGAAGTCTGACTCATCTGAAATGTCCCCCTGCTGTGTCCATTGCATCCCATTCCTCCTCTTCTTCTTCTTCTTCTTCCTTTCGCCCATCAACATGGCAGCTAGAACGGTGATCGCCACAGTGATAGTGATGATGAGCACGGTGACTGTCTCAGCTATGCACAGCTCGCTGTCCACGTCCATCAGTAGGTGGTTCCGGAGAACAGGTGGCTCCATGCATGTCAGGTTTGAGTAGTCATCCAGGAACAGTCTCTGGATGCTGTGCAGCTTTTGGAAGACTCTGTGCAACTCGCAGTCGCAGTTCCAGGGGTTGCCCTGCAGCAGGATGTGAGTGCTGTAAGTGTGGATGCTCAAGAAGGTCTTGAAACTGACTGTGGAAAGACAGTTGTTAGTTAAGTTTAATAATGTCATGCTGGTGAGAGGACTGAACACAACCGTTTCCATCTTGCTGATCTGATTCCCGGCCAGGTTGAGGACCTCCAGGGAGCGCAGCATAGAGAAGGTGCCGCTCCTCAGAGAGGTTAGCTTGTTGTCCTTCAGATGGAGCTGCCGCAGGCTGCTCAAAGTGAAGAACGATCTCACCTGGATGCTCTGGATGCTGTTGTTGGTGAGGTTTAACTTTTGCAGGCCTTCCAAGTAAAAGAAGCTGTTGCTGTCCAGGCTGCTCAGCTTGTTGTGGGACAGTTGTAGCTCCTTCAGAAAGGCCAGTCCGATCGAGAACCCTTTGGTCAGGGAGGAGATCCAGTTCCGGCTCAGGTCCAGCTTCTGCAAGAACTCCAACTGAGAGAAGCTGTTGTCCTCTATTACACTGATATTGTTGTCCTGCATCAGCAGCACTCTCAGCTTACGGTTTGTGCTGAAGATGTTTTTGGGGAGGATGATGATGAGGTTGCCAGAAAGGTCCAGGAGCTCAGTGGAGGGAGGTACTCTACTAGGAAGCTGGGTAAGGTTCAGGTGAGAGCACATGATAAACTTGTGGTCTCTTGGACAGTCACAGCCCAGCTTCCATAGGGTGCAGTTAGACTTGGAGGATGCCTCTATCACCAGTAGGAAGACAAACACCAACTCCTTCATGGCTTCAGTTTTCTGAAACAACAGGATACATTTTTTCTCATTTACTGAGCTGATTCCATAGTCTTCCTTGAAAGTCAACTGTCAACAGCAAAGATTTCCTTGAATGCACAAATATGCCCAAATTAAATCTTTGAATCTGTTGGAGTTATTTAGCTACTCACATAGGACTGACACTGTTGACTATTTTGATAGTCGACTAATCTGCAATTATTTTTTCAGTTAGCCATTAGTCCATTAGTTGATTATTTTTGTCACAATTTCCATCTACAACCCCTGGCAAAAAGTATGGAATCACCAGTCTTGGATGAGCACTCATTCAGACATTTCATTCTATAAAACAAACTCAGATCAAAAACATGATACAACTAGAACTGCGAAGCCCGTGTATACATGTCCACCTTGTCTCATGTCGTCCTGAGCACATTGTTGACGAATGCATTACAGAGTTGTAACATGAAGAGTTTACATAAGGTGTACTTGAGATCCTAATATCTTAAATATATTTAGGTCTCAGAAAAATGTCACTTCATATCCAAATGTCCTATATTGCCTTCTGTTCTGTCTTTTTACTGGGAGCTCTATTGTTAACTTTCATAAATCATTATACGAACTGTGCCTCCTCTGGACATGTCCAAACCATCTTAATCTGGCCATTTTAACGTTACCTCCTAGTTGTTCATGTTCCTGGGACTCTTTCTGCACCTTTTTACCACACTTCCAATTTTCTTGGACAGACTACTTGTTGCATGACTGTACTAGGTGCCTGTCTTTTATTAACTATACATTTACATGAATAGTTGAACCTAAGTACTTGAGGTCCTATTACCTTTGTGCCTTATGCTTCTTGTAATCTCTCTGTTCCACCTGCCCCCTCCCAGTCAGACACATGTACTCTGTCTTCAATTTTAGTAAAAAGGAGAGCACAAAAAGTTTACCTCAGTTTTCAAATTGCTTTGATATGACAAATAAAACTCGAGTTATGATAATGTACAACGCGTCTTTTTAAATGACATTCTTTCTGATGTGCAATACAGTGGTAGGCAACACAGTAGTTTGGTGTAAAAACTGAAATCCACCATCAGTCTCATCCTGTCCAGTCTTGTATTTTGTAAAGAAGGGAAAAATCTACAGGAAAAAAATGAAGATGCCAAAACTGAATGTTTGGAGGTTGTTATGGTAAATATTTATTTAACAAAGACAGAAATACGTGGTCCAAGAATGAAGGTACTCCGTGGGATGATCAGCTGAGTTTTATTGCAACAACAGGAAACACAGAGAACCTGGCCTGTCTCTGTGCCTCTGCCTCTCTCTGTCAGTCTCTCCACACTGCTGTTGAACACTGTGTCTCGAGAGGCCTCATATACTGTGTATATATTAACAAAAACCATTCTGTCATCTTAGCAAGATTTGATTCAAGGTCAATGGAAAACACAAAGATAAACAGAAGTGATATCTAAGAATGACTTGTTAGCAAATCTTGTTCTGACTTTAATCATTCTATCTGCAGATGAACAGCATGTCATGAAAAACCTAGGTCATTAAAGGATGTCATGATTTACTTGCTTAAGCATAAAAGTATTATAGAGGTGATGGAGAAACAGAAAGTGCAGGAAAAAGTAATTAGATATGTAATATTTAGTCTGTTGCAGGCTGACAAAAAGGCACAGAACATGGCAGTTAAAGCATTTTTAAGGGGAAATATAAAGGTAAAATCTAAATACTCCAAAAACTCACCACTTTCTCTTCCATCTCCCTATTCTCATATGATGCCAAAAAACTATCCCACAACATAGGAAATACCAGTCCACACACACACACACACACACACACACACACACACACACACACACACACACATATAAACACACACATGTACATATCACATACATATATATTTATGTATATATTCGTATCTGCATGAAATGGTTTGTGGTTATATACTTTCTTTTGTGAGAGCTCCTGTCCTGTCAGTGAAGGGCCCATGGAAATGACCTTACTCCCTATAGCCTGAAACATACTTGCTCCGACGCCGACGGGTTGACGCGCGGTCATGTGGTGGTTCGGCATTCATTTTCACACAGACCCTTCATAGCTCCAGAGACACCCCGCGCCGAGCTCTTGGGTAACCCCTCCCGCTGCAACACTGCATGGACTTTCATGCCACTACAGCCGACAATGCAGATTAAAAAAGTTAGACTCAACCCTCACCCAGTGTATTTATCCACATCTGTCCTGGTTAAAGCTCCACAGTTTTTATCAGTCAGATTCCTCGGTGCACAACATCTGTTTAATCTCCATTCAGAAGTTTTTCACGGTTTGACTATCTTTATAAAACTCTGCTTCCTAGTAACAGTCAGCTCTGGGAGCGAGTCGTTTCCTTTTTTTTATTTTACAGAGTGGAACCATCCGAGCGCTTTCAGCACAAGCAAACACGCCCACGAACTTCAGACCAATGAGACATTACCGTCGTCGCGGGAGGGGGCAAGTTCTGCCGGCGGTTTGTGCCAAAATGGGCGGCCGAGCCGACGCTGCGAACACTGGTGACATAATTTTCTTCATGAAACTGCGACAACCCATGCCAACGTCGGCAGATCGGAGGGAAAATGAAGAAAGCTTAAATCCCCTGTGTGTGTGTGTACTTGTTTTTACAACAGAGTGAGGACCATTTGCACCATAGTTACTTTCAAAGTGAGGTTTTTGATGTAAAGTAAAGCTGAAAACAAACTCCTGCGAACTGCCGACGTCGGCACGGGTTGTCCCAGTTTAATGATGAAAATTACGTCACCAGGCTTCGCAGCATCGTGTCGACAGCCTCTTTTGGCACAAACCCCCGGCAGAACTTTTTGAGCCCCCTCCCGTGTCGACAATAATGTGTGATTGGTCTGAAGTTCGTGCGTCTTTGTGCTACGCTCATGTTTATTTTCAATTTCCACCACATGTTTTTAATTGGGTTGTGATCTGGACTGTTTGCAGGCCATGACATCGACTGAATGTGTCTTTATCCAAGGAATGCTTTCACAGTTTTTGCCCTATAGCATTATGCATTGTCATCTTGGAAAATTATTTCATCACCTCCAAACATCAGGGGCCTCATGTATCAACGGTGCGTATGCACAAAAACCTTGCGTATGTCATTTTCCACGCAAAACTCTGGATTTACAGTGGGGAAAATAAGTATTTAGTCAGTCACCAATTGTGCAAGTTCTCCCACTTAAAAAGATGAGAGAGGCCTGTAATTAACATCATAGGTAGAACTCAACTATGAGAGACAAAATGTGAAAAAAAATTTGAGAAAATCATTTTGTCTGACTTTTGAACAATTTTTTTGCAAATAATGGTGGAAAATAAGTATTTGGTCAATAACAAAAGTTCATCTCAATACTTTGTTGTATATCCTTTGTTGGCAATGACAGAGGTCAAACGTTTTCTGTAAGTCTTCACAAGGTTGGCACACACTGTTGCTGGTATGTTGGCCCATTCCTCCATGCAGATCTCGTCGTAGTGTGTTGCTGATGGTAGCCTTTGTAACATTGGTCCCAGCTTTCTGCAGGTCATTCACTAGATCCC